TGGGCCTTCAAAGTGAAAAGTAATGCTGATGGCACTGTTGATCGATACAAGGATCGCATCTGTGCTAAAGGATACACGCAAAAATACGGAGCCGACTACCTAAATACTTTTAACCCAGTAGCCAACATCAAATCTATACGAATATTTCCATGTTGGCAGCAATGTTAAACATGGGAGTGTTTCAATTTGATCTTGATGGTACCTTTACTTTACCACCACTTCCACTGAGGAAATATACATGGAAGCGCCTAATGGCGTTAAACTGCCAAAAGGATAAACCTTTGTGCGTGTCCTCAAATTAATACATGGACCAAAACAATCTAGCATGAGGTGAAATGCAATATATATGCAGACTTCCTTAAACTCTTCCAGTCATTTATGTGGATCATCTAATGGAAAAGGACTCTCTCATTATACTCCTTTTGTATGTAGGTGAATGCTTAATCGCGTCCACCAGAAAGGAACTGAACGACGCGCTAATTTTCCACATCAAGTCAAGGCAAGATATAAAAGTACAAGGGAAGGCAACTTGGATACTTGGGATGATGAACCCAGCCTGAGGACGGAATTTTCTGAACCAGGAGAAATGCCTTCCTGATATTTAGATCATATTCGAGATGACCATTGCAAAGTCATTCGAGAATACTGGCATTAATGATGATACCTGCTGTACAGCCTTACAAAAGAGTTAGTCAGTTCTTTGTTCCACCTTTCAATTGGTTTCTCGGCTGAATATAGCGTTTGCTGTGAAGAGAGTGGCTAGGAAACATAGTAAACAGATTAAAAAGCAGCTCCGCCAATATTTAGATACTTGATTGGTACATGCGCTACATGATGTAATACCTTAAGGGTTTTGGCGATAGCAATCACTTCGGTTGTCTTAGAACCAGAAGAAATACGACAGGATCCGTTTTTGATGAATGCACGTCTATACTTGAAAAGACAACGGCTCTGTCGGCCATAGAAGCAGAGCTGATGGCAATTGCGAATGCGAAGAAGGAAGCCATATGGTTACGCTACTTAATGGTGGCAATGCTGACCTTTAGAATTGCCCGTTGAAGCGCAATACTCTGTCTCTGAATTATATTATTGTTGGAGTTGACTGATAAATTACGCGCTCATACCACGTGGTACATGTCAAGTAGGTTTCTTATATTATATGTCCGTACCGCGTGCTCTGAAATCCGTTTGCTATGGTTTTTAGATCACAAGCGCTTCGTCATCTCCGTCTCTGGTACAGAACGCAGATGGCGTTTACATAGGAAGTAAGTGTTTCAGAAATTGATGCAATGGAAAGAACTAATCTGTGTATTTTTAGTGAGACTCCTCTTCTTCCCAGTGTTCTTTTCATTTTCTGCCACTTTTCGACGTACCGCCAGGACAACCGGTAGAGGCGCAGCTATTTTAGTTAAACGAAACATTCAGCACAGGATAAAATCTTTACCAGCTCTGCCGAGCATTGAGGAGGGTTGAAGTTACCCTCTACTCAACCAGCCAGGAGCCCGTGTCGGTAATTGCAGCTTAAAGCCCCCCAGGAGGTCACTTACTGCCCCAGATCTTGGCGGCCCTTCTTATAAATTATTTCTTAGTTGTTGTATGAGGGGAACCCTAACTGCCACATCCCACCTGGAACAACCATGTCGATCAATCCAAATGGCCGAATTCTGGAATCTTTCACTGACAAGCGCAACCTGCGCGTTTTAGGCCCACACCCTATGCACCTGGCAAAGACAGGTGATTAGACGTATTAGATATCGCCGTTTTCTAAATTTGCCAATTATTAAACGGCAATGGAAGTTCTTTAAAAACTCTTGTTAACCATTTGCCAGTTCTTCTTGGCTTGGGGGAGGTAACGGAGTTGCTAAAAACATATATTAGAACATATACAGACTGGGCTCAATCCTCCAGGGTCCTTGACATGACCTTAATATTCTTCGCCTTACATAACGTTGCTGTTGCTGAATTTGAGGGCGTTTTGACCATGGTGAACCACATTACCACGACAACACGTGAAGTTTAGTCCCGCCCTAACCCCCCTGTCTGATGAACTGAAGGTCCTTATCTGCGAGTGACGACGCCTTATTCGAGTGATCACGGTTTCACAAACCCCACGAAAATAAATTAGCGCCTAAAGATTACACCGGTGTATTAGGAAAGTGCTGTTGGCGCACACAAGAAATTGTAAGAGACAAAATTACGTAATATATCGGAAGATAACGGTAACGTTCGCACTCTCTTTCTATGGAAGTTTATTAAAAATACAAAAACCAAGCGCGTTTATCACTTTTTACTAGGAGAGACGGAAATTGTGTGGCAAAAATGCTGACAAAGCGACACTTTTTGCTGATCCCCTCGCTGCTCAGTGCGCGCCACATGCTTATCAAGTTGCTGATGAGGTGCTTTGCGGATTAACCTTCTTTGTTAAGGCTAAGGAACAACTTAAGTCAATTACCATAGTCGAAGATAATTAAAGCCTTACCGAGAGGAAAGGCGCCCCCCGACGGTATCACCAACGTTATCCTAAAGCAATTACCAATGGTAGCGATAAAACATCTATGTTGCCTCATTAACTCTACGATGGCTCTCGACGCCTCGCATGCGCTGGAAGACGGAGAACTTCTACATATAAATAACATCATTTAGCTCTATGACTAACAATACAGTTAGCTAGGCCGTCGTATGACCATGGAATTAACCCTAATATAGCCCGAGTCTAGTTCAAGGTTGATTAGCCTATCACTTCAGCTGGACTGTATCAGAGGCCCAGGAATGGGGAATGATGTTATTTGTCGTCACTCATTAGAAAAGACCTCTGCTTAATCCCTTCTAAGAAGAGAAAACTTCCAAAGACAATGCCAATATACAACGCGTCAGCTTCTAAGGAGTAAAGCTAAAAGAATAATGGCCTGGCCGCTAAACTCATTTCAAAGCTCAAAAAGCCACTGGGGCCATATAAGCCTCGTCAGTGTGCACGAAAGGCCAGTCCTAGACATGCTATTAACGATAATATACGGCATAAGACGCGGGGATGTTAGCACCTGTCCCAGAGCTAAAGCCAAATTCAGGTTTTGAGTATTAAGAGCATATCTTTCGATACGCGAGTAACGCCGCTTATAACTCTACTAAGTAACGTGCAACAGTGAGCCCATAGCGCACCACAGGAGGGTACCATAATCACTTTTAATTTTTTTAATGTCATAAATGAGTCCACTCTAAATTAGGAAGCTAACCCCATCTTGCTAAGAGTTAAAATTAAGGCAGTGAAAATCCAGGAACATTAGCCATGAAACTGCCGAATAGTAAGAGGGATGACATGAGAGCGTACGGCACGCTATTTTAGCTCAAGGCGGCAATCAATTAGCTACCTTAGGTCGAAACACAAGTGTAGTCGCAAGGGCTAACGCCGAGGTTCCAAGCGTAACTTCATATAGGGTGTATCTCTTTAGACCGCTTCATGAAAGTGACTAGGGAGAAAAAGCAACCGCATCACTAAAGGGTATACAAACTATTAAGAAAGCTCCAAAATATAGCTAACGGCCAAATGCCAAAATAATATAGGCAATGCGCTCCCACTACGAGACTGACTTGCACTCTCTGACAAGTATTTTTAAATGATCGCCGACACGTACCTCGCAGTGGTCAAAGTAATAGTAAAATTGTCTACGCACATCCCCGCAAAAATGTTCAAGTCAAAGGTATAAAGGTATATATAGGTATAATTAGCATACGGGGGTATGGGTAAATAACGAGGAAAAAAGTACGATTCTATTCTCTTACACATGCTTTTTCAAAGCCTTAATTGTATTAATTGACCCTTAAAAAGGTTTAATTAGTGTTCTTACACAGATCTGATGATTCTTTAATGAGGCCTTTACTCGGAAATGATGGTAAAATATAGTATATACTAGTGAATAACGCCATTGTATATGTCTCTCTGCCTAGTACTACACTTCTATCGCAACCTTATATATGAGAAATAAGCACATTGAACCATGGCACACCAAGCACCCTAATACCACCAGACTTTAGCAGAGGTTAGACCAAAAATAGCTAACCTAGCAAAGTACTCTCAATGAGGTAAGATAAGCGACAGAGCATAGCACTAACAAAGACATAAAACAAAGCAGATTCCTTGTGATACACCAAGGACACCACGACCAGCATCAACGCCAAGCAAATAAAGGTCTATCAGCCTCTTGTCAGCCCTTGGCAAAGTAGCTGAGGCGGCCATACTACGCCACTCAAAAGCATCTATTGACACTAACCACGCCCCGCTAGAGCTAAAAAGTGAATTTCGACAAGGACCTTCCATGGCTTAACTCCTCCGCCCGACAGAAGAACGGCTCGTGCCGTCAATTAAAAAAAGGCAACAGGTACCGTCTTTTTGATGCCAAAAAAGAGTTTGCGACTTTAACACAAGGTTGCTCAACCCGTTGGGCGCCATAGCCCTATCTACTGTTCTTTTTAACGTGTTCAAAGCTTACGCTTTGACCGTCTTTGATATAACTGTGTACGACGCGCGCTCACTTCTAAGTCCACTAACAGCAGCCCGGCGACCCCACACGAGCTGGAAGTATTCGGGTCATAATAATACCGCTATTCACTTTTTTATTTTCCCGGTTACAAAAAGACTTGACGTTTCGTAAATCAAGTTTTATGATATCGCGCTCCTTAAGATTAATGCAAAGCTTTATAGAAAATTCAAGTCGGTTTTAACCTCAGTACTCTAAAACGATATAATGATACTTCCCCTGAGTTAACGGAAGCATTAGAAGATGTAAATTCTAAAATTAACCCTTTATTTTTTAAAAAAAAGTTAACGTTCATATTCAATAGAAAGCACCCTTAAAAAATACGTAGTACCTATAAAGATCAATAGCTCTTACTTAATTAAAAACCACCAGGTAATGCAAAAAGTGGCCGAAAGAGCTAAAAAAGCATAAATTAAGTTTTACAATAAGAATTTTTAGTGCCTAGTATTGTCAATATTATGAAACTTGGCTCTATTCTTTTTTTTATTTATCTTTCCAAGCAGTCCTTTCTTCAAAATTTTTTACTAGGTAATAAACAAGTATTAGAAAAAAAAAAAGAAATACCTGAAAATGTAATATGCGAAGCATGTCATCTACAGCTAAAAAGCTTTTAATACAGGTATAGTTCCTAAGGCTATAACTTTATCCTTAATACTTTAACGAAAAAAGAATTACAAAAGTTAACCTCGTCTAACAAACTACCGGCTAGGTAACTAAGTTATCCCAAGCTTTCCAGATTTGCTTAAAACCTTATTAGGAATTTTTTTTTATTTCTAAGGCTTCATTTAAACCGGCAATTATAACTTACAATATTACATAGAGATTGAGTCGAACCTGGAGAATAGTATGTTAAAGTACTCGACTCTGAAGTTTATTAGTTCTAGGATATTGAGCACTCGCTGATAGCACTTGGCAAACATTTTAAACTTCAGTAAGGCGGCAGTGCTACAACGTTAGAAACTTCTTCTGCGATTGAAAAAACTACGCAGTAATTTTCACTAAAAAGAGACCAAAATCATATAAAAAATTAATATTTTAAATTAAGCAACGCCAAAGTTCACAGACCTTGCGACCATAGCCTGTAAGCGATTGCGTTAACGGGATGGGAGGCCATATAAATAATTAAAAATCCCCCATCCACTGATAAACGAGAGCCCATCTTAGTTAAAGCCCGTGCCACCAACCAATTGTTGTAAGTAAAACGATAATCTTTAGTTATTAGGCATACCTTTAAAGACCAGGTTTTATTCCTTTTAGAGGTAAAAAAATTAAATTGCGGAGTTATATGAAATAGCAAGAATTTAAAAAGTACACAACAAAAAGGCTATCTATTCGTTTTTTTTAAAAAATTTAACTTTATTTTAGATTTTGAAGTTTTTAGAAGTAAAGCTAAAAAAAAAGATTACGGGAGCACCGAAGTCATTTCGTTTTTAGTGAATGAATGAAACGGACTTAACAGCACGGGGATTATTTAAAAATTATAAAGATAAATACAATTGCTTCTAGTTTGTAATTAATAAAACCTCTGTAAATGGAAAAAGCTTTGTAAATGCCAAATTATAACAAATATATATATATATATTAAGGTTTAAATATCCCGCGCTGTAATACATAATAAATTGAAGGCAAACACTCACGATATATATATATATGAGTTAGTAGGTTATGACAAAGGCAAAAAATCCCCCTTGAACCAAAGGGCTATCCAGCAAATGTTCGCAACTTGTGGACACCGGTCGGGGTGTGGATGTTTACAATTTGAAAGACCAGTCAAACCAATCTCCAGAGGCCACGTGACCATTTGCGAAAGAGAGTTTTCCAATTGAATCTTTATTGATAACCATTGTTGGCTCATCCTGCATAATAGTACATTTAGGGTTTTCTTTACTATAATTTTCACCCTCTACCCTAACTGCCATGAGCAAGCCCGTTGAGCTAACAGAGACGCAGGTTATATGTACATAGTATATTGTTGTTTATAATAAATTTTTCCTTTTTTATTTAAATAGGTTTCTCAGTTGTTAGATTTTTCGAAACCTTTGGACGTCTCTTTGTTGGAGTGTGCCATAGAGGCTTCTTTTTCTTCTAAAAGTCCCCAAGAAGTAAAAATTATTACATAAAACAACCACTTTTTACTTTATATGATAAATTATTTTTGTTATAAAATGTCAGATCGAAATCTGTAACAGAGTGCTTACAACTATAAAAGAGCATCCAGAGTCGTGGTCTCGGGCTAATATTATTATTGAGACAAGTAATCATCCCCAAGCGAAAGTACTTTTATATTTTTGTTAGTTAAACTTATCTTCCTCACACTTAGAATTATTTACTATTCAGTCTTGTTAAAGTCTTTATTATATATATTATTTTAACCCCTACAAGCTTTGTACAAGTCAATACTTATAAAGTTATATCCTGTGAATCAAAATTACTGTAGATTTTATTATAATAACTTCAGTATTGAATGGAGAAATGTTTTTTCTGTGGACGTAATTTCTTTAGTTTAGTTCTTTGCCTCACTTATATAATTAGAATATATACATAATAGAATAAACAGCTTTATTCAATTTTTTTTTACACGTTATAGTTATAGAATTTTATTATAAACTATTTAGTTTTTTGGATTACAAATTCTTGAGAAAACGGTGAACGAAAGGTGGAATCTTATTCCTCAACTGCAGCGAGAAGAACTTCGCAAATACATTGTTGGTGCCATTGTGAGATGCAGCAGTAGCATAGAACTGATGGCCGCCCACAAAGTTTTTTTGACGAAGCTTAATATGATCCTCGTACAAGTACTCCTTAAAACTTTTGTTAATATTAAAAACTACTGGTGAGAGGAATCCTCGTTACTCTACATTTAGTGTTGTTGTCGAGTGAAGTTACCTGTTTTTCTCTTTATCATTATATCATATATTGAATAGCAATGTAGTTATTTGGTTGTATGTTACTAATTGAATAAGGATATATGTATAGGTTTGAAGTAGATCTTGACCCTTTTAATAATTTACATTCTAACTTGTTTTTTGAGGATGCTTCGATTTATTTTAGTGTGATATCCAATAGTTTTTTGGGAATCAGCTTTAATTGCTTAACATTTAGATTCTCTTTAGTTTTAAAGTGTAATAATATTTATTTTGTTATTCATATTGAGCCCCCTTTTTGCTATAACTTTTCGGTTGTTTTTACCATACTGTTACTATACTGTGACGTTTATTTATTCCTCTGAATTACCTTTTTTATCAAGAAATCTTTAAGCACCTTCTATTAGCGGAGTTTATATAAAGTTGTGATGCTATACGATATTAACACCTTAACGGCTATGCGTACTATCTATTCCTTATTAGATCCTAAAGAAGGACTGGCCCCACGCGTGGCCAACCTTTATACCGGACATTGTGGCGTCCAGTCAGAAGAGTGAAACTCTTTGCTTAAATACAATGAATATCTTATCCTTATTTAGGTTTATTGTTCCCTTTTACTGCCGAAAGCTCCACTCATGTAGCTTTCTAGCGAAGAGATTTTCGAATTTTCTTCTGGGCAAATGACGCGTGTGAAAGTGAAGCGTTTGAAGAGTTGTATTGCATCCGAGTTTTCTTCTGTGTTTAGTCTGTGCCTGTTTGTGTTTGAGAACTCTACACACGTGGAACTTTTAAATACCACTCTGAACACGCTGCTGAAATTTCTTAGTTGGATTCCTCTTGGCTACATTTTTGAAACCAAGTTGCTGGAGATCCTTTACAATGTTAGAGTGTTATTATCTTTGTTATTTTAAGCAAACCAGGAGCTCAAACTTTATATTTTTTTTCTTAGTTTCTAACGCACGATCAACTTCGTAACAATTCCATGAAATGCCTTATTGAAGTTGCCTGCGTTAAAGTTAACAGTAACGACTACCGGATGCACTTCGTCTTGCTTGCACAAGGTGTGCAGCGGATCGTTACTCAGGCAAAATCTTTTTAACTAGCCTCTAAAATGATATATAATGGTGGTGCGCAACACCTGTTGGTGGGAGTCACGCAGTAGTATACTTTACTGCTCTCTCCACTTCCTTTGGGTGTTTATGTTTCTCTACTATGTACAGTTGGTTCCTTTTGAAAAGTTGGCCGCCCTATACGAAAACTCTACTAACCAGAATCACGAATTTGTTAGCTCACTGGCATTATTCTATGCCTTTTACTTAAAGGCATATTCTTTATATCGGAGCTCTTATGTCCTCTACATACCTTTCTCTCGTGCAGGGCCACGCTGAGGTTCTCGAGGCCGCTGCAGAGACGCATACTCTGCTACTGGAGCTGCATCAATGGTAAGTCTGTGTATGTGAAAGAAACGACGCTTGCACTATACCTTTGCGCCCCGTGTAAGCTTGTTGGCGATCTCCGAAGTAGACGATCGGGAAATTTTCAAAGTTTGCTTGGAGTACTGGCGCTTCTTTTCCGAATTAATGTACACGGAGGCATCCCAGCCGCTCTCCATGGTTCTCGAGCCCAAGAGACGAAGCCTTTACACCAACAAGACTGATATAATGAATCCTCTGCGGCGCGTGTTGATTTCTAAGATGGTCAAACCCGAAGAAGTGTTAGTCGTCGAAAACGAAAATGGAGAATTGGGTTATACAGAGCGCTTTCCACCATTTGCTAGTTTTCTTACCCCCCCCTCCTCTTTCTCTACTTCCAGTTCGAGAGTTTATGCCCGCCCACACCGACACGCTTTCGATGTTCCAGACAATGCAGGAAACGTTGGTGTACCTAACGCGCCTCGATTTCGACAGCACCAAGTCAATCATGGTAGACATGCTTTCTGCCGTGGTGCTGTCCCCCAATTGGACTTGGCAAAGGTGGCCATTTCACTTTCCGCCATCTGCTTTTGGTAACTCTGTCGTCCTTCGTATATAGACTGAACACCCTTTGCTGGGCTATCGGCGCTATAAGCGGCACCATGCCGATCACGTGCATTTCCTTTGCTACGTGCACGGGTCTTTATATGCTCAATGGTTTTTTAGGGAGGAAGAGCAGTTTCTCGTGAAGGTTATCAAGTATCTGTTAGGCCTTTGTGATCAAGCCAAAGGAAAGGTTAATATTGCGAGTATACTATTTCTGGTAAACTTTCACTGTTACTTTGTTTTCTCTCAGAGTAATAAGGCTGTTGTTGCCTCCAATATAATGTACGTTGTTGGGCAATATCCTCGTTTTCTGAAGGCGCATTGGAATTTTCTAAGCGTTGTGGTTAAGAAGCTCTTTGAATTTATGCATGAAAGTCACGAGGTTATTCTATCTTTTGACATTGTGTTTACTTGCTCATTTCTCTATGTCGTAGGGTGTCCAGGACATGAGCTGTGACACTTTTCTGAAAATATCAAAGCAATGCGCACGCTCGTTTGTGACAATCCACGTTGGAGAGTCGCATCCCTTTGTTAATGGAATTTTATCAGACTTGAGGATCACTATATCCGACCTTCAACCTCAACAAGGCATTATCGTGATTATTATTACTACCATGCATGGATTACTTACATGGGCGTAGTGGAAACATTTTACGAGGCTGTCGGGCATATGATTGCAGCCCAGAACGATCTTCTAACCAAGCAGGGCCTTATCATGAGCTTAATGGAACTGCCCAACCAGTTGTGGTCAGGCGGACGTTCTTGTCCAATTATTTTCCACTTAGTTAGCTTAATAACATCACTATATAAGGACACACTGCATCAGAAAAGTCGCTGTGGACCAGAACGAACTTCGCAACGAGGAAGTCCTCAAATCCTTATCGAATGTTCTTCGTTTAAACATTCGGTTCTCATATGCAAGAAAACTCGGATGCACTTTTTACTTTTTTCCTATAGAGCCTGCCAAGCTATTGGCCACGAGTTTGTGGTCCAAATAGATAAAGTTTTTAGTCAAATGCTGACACTCTACAACGTGCTTAGCAACATGATTGCCGAAGCAGCAGTCGCCTATGGTTCTCTTTTCTTCTTACAGATTTTTTTTGTGTGTAGTTAACACTCTTTTAGGGGAAGTGACCTTCAGGCAGCCGTTGTATAGAAGGATGCACTCCCTCAAGCACGACTTCTTGTGTCTGCTAAAAACTTGGATCGGCCTCTCGAACAATTGGGAATACCTCCGAACTACTTACCTTGGGCAAATTTTAGGTCCCATTCTAGACGACTACAGAAGCAGCGCGCCTCCCGCCAAGGAACCGGAAGTCCTGCAGCTGCTTAAGGCCTTGTGTGATACTTACGGCCAACTGGTATAGCTCGGATGCCCCACTATGCACATCCCTTTTCATTCGTTCTGCAGATCAGTGCTTCTATCCCCATCGTCTTTGATGCTGTCTTTGAGTGCACGCTGGACATGATTACCAAGGACCTCTCTGCTTATCCGACTCACAGAATCAACTTTTACAGATTATTGGCATCCGTCAGTGGTCACTGCTTTCAAGGTTTTGAAATTGATTGGTTGGATGCATGCCACTTCTGAAGAAGACTGTTCCGCACAGCATTCGTTGAAGTGACTGCAAAGCACTTCCAGCTTATCATAGACTCTGTGGTGTGGGCAATGAAGCACGCTATGAGGAACGTATGCGAGTCCGGCCTCAATATATTGCACCATATTTTAAGTGGCGTTGGTTCCACCGGCTTTGCTCAGCAGTTCTATACGACTTATTATTTAACGCTTCTTGGCCATTTGCTTTCCATCCTCACCGACTCGACCTACCAGCATGCTTTCGATAAGGTTCCACCACGCGGTCTGTTTGTGGTGACTCGTGTTGTTATTGCTGAGCAGATGGCTTCGATTCTCTCTCTGATGATTGATGCGGTGGACGCTGGACGGATCCGCCACCCCTTGTCCCCTGAGCACTCCTCTAACAAAGAGTGCGTCCAAGCTTACTTGAGAGAAACGCTGACAGTCGCTTTTCCCACCCTTCACTCGTACACTGCTTGTAATCTTTTCTTTACTGTATACCCAATGATTCACCATATGAATATGCAAGTGCGCAAGCGGAAACAATCATTCAGCAACTTTTTACTCACTACGCCGACTCGGAAACTTTTAAAGGAGTCCTTTCCGACTTTCTTGTTCAAACTAAAGTTTATGAAGATGAGCGAGAAATTGAAGCTTACACACGCGATGCACAGGTCCTCTATTAATTATTATTATTATTATTATTATTATTATTATTATTATTATTATTATTATTATTATTATTATTATTATTATTATTATTATTATTATTATTATTATTATTATTGTTATTATTATTGTTATTATTATTATTATTATTGTAATTGTTATTATTATTATTATTATTTAAACGTAGGAACAAATGTTAAAGGTTCAAGAAAGAAAAAACTTGTCAGGACAAATTCCAGGCTTTGTTAGTCACCGTAAGATAGGAGAAACTCAACTTTACTAAGGAGCACTCTTTGAATAGGAAGAGATATTAAATTTTATTTATTTATAAAACTTTTTTGATCATTAACACAACCTTTTGAAAGTATTGCAGTAAAAGTGAAAAATTTTATCGAAGTTATATAGTCACTTTTAAGTAAACTTGGCTTTTCTTCTCAAAGGCGTCGTCTAGTTTTACACCCTTTGAAAAGTATTTCAGGGCTTCGCGTTTTCTACTAAACTTTTACCTTGTACCCCCTAGCCCACATAATTAATTAAGTCTACTGTGAGCCAGCAGAGACAAGTTGTATTTTTAAGGGCCAAAGTCGCTTTTTTATCTAGCTACCACATCTATAGACCAAATAAATATATTCCGAAAGCTTTCAAATATGTTTTTCCGCTTCGTAATAAACAATATTTATAACTCTACGGCCAGTCTTTATATTAAACCCTTTTTTTAACTTCCGAAGAAGTATCAAGTTCGCCTGATTATCAATTATTATGCTCGCCACATACTCATGAGATTCTTCAAAAAGCATATTTCTAGTTTAATGTTCTTTCCGGTACTTAGATTCGCGTTAAAGTAAAGGCTTACTCTTCATACAGTGATTTTTAAATGTGTTCTACTGATATAAAATATCTATAACGAGTCTTTATTTCGCTTGTGTATTCATAAGTTTATATATTACATGGGCTATCGTTAAAACTTAAAACCACTTTCTCTTTAATAAAGGATTTTTCTTAAACACACCCTCAAAAAAAGTTTAGTTAGTAAGAATCTAAATTTAATTTATTAGGTTTCTCGGGTTATTATAAGTGTTGTTTTTGCTTTTTTTAACTCATTTTCTTATTAATGTATAGTATATTTCGCTGAATCATAATTTCGCTTTTGCGTCCCTGACTCGAAAGTTAATTTACTTATTTAAAAAAATTTATAGTATGCTTTCAATACTTGAAATTAAACCATACATTTAAAACCTTATTAAATTAAAAACTGGTGTAGCGCAAAACACAATCAACAAAACGTAGAGGGGGATGCAATAATAAGGAAATCTTAATTTCAAATGATATATGTTGTTGGACCCTTAACCTTAACCTTAAATTTAACTATAAAGCACTACTGACAACAAATTACTTTATGGACTACTTATTAGTACTACTATGAAAATGTAGAGAGTTCAAGTCCTGAGTTGCAATTCGGTTCATTTTATACTTTGGAGTTTACCTTTTTTATCAATAACTATTACTTTTATTTAGAATTTAAAGACTATACTAAAAAATTTGGCACTTACGTTATTTGTTTCTGTGCTCTTAATAACTTTTTTAGAGAAAAAGGAGAAAAACTACGCTCCGCAACCTATATTGTTTTGATCGAGCTTAGAGTTTAGCAAGGATAATATTTACTATTTATAATTCTTGTATTTTATTCTAGAGCTCTAAAACGCACCAAAAAATTATTTAAATAGTAATCACTTTTAATTGTTTTTATTGTTTAGTTAGGAAATAAATCGTTTATAGTTTAAGAAATTGTTTAATATTTTTGTTAACATTATAGTTATAAATAACCTAATTTAAATTTAACATTAATTTATCTTTTATCTGTAACCTGAGAGTAAGCTTTCTCTGGCCCTACCATTGTGTTTCAAAGAGCAAGTAAGTTTTTTTCAATATTTTTATTTGGGGTAATAGAGTGAACCCTTATAGCTTGTAGGGTGTCTTTGACATAACTTCTTTTTCGGGCAACCCTTAAGTTCATGATTGTCTTTATTGAATATAACGCTTCTTACTGAAAAGTGCAATATTTCAATAGTACTGTATAGTAGACTGCAAAAAAAATGTATGACCTTTTTTTTAAAGGTTTACTTCAGATTGAATTAAAGTTAACATTTTTTACATTGCTTCTAACACTTTTCACTTTTAAGTGCTTATATACTAAGATTAAAAGTTCTAAGTCATCTTTATTCCTAAGTTTAATAACTCCAGTAGGTTTTTATACCTCGAGATTCCAGGTGTTCCTTTAATGTCCACAACATACCTTTTTTATAAGGCTCCGCTAGAGACTGTATAAGACTTTTCTCAGCGCTTTAAATTTAAAAGGGAAGTTAACTTATAATAGACCTATTCGGTAGATGTGCATCATTCTATGTCTCAAGTTTTTGTATCTGAGACCACAACCTTACATTTTAAATTAACTAGGACTAATTCTATAGGTTTCTGTAAAATGTGTTGTTGGATTTATTCTAGATTTTTTTAAGTTATTAAAGTTACTATTGACAAAACTATCGCCATTCCCTTTTAAATATCAGTATACTATTATTTAAGCTGTTATCTTCTAAGAAAACTAGGGAAGAAACTGAAGATGCCAACAAAGTCAGCATAGTTCCGAAGCGCCGATGGATTCGAAATATAGGGACATAAGAATTGTAAAAAGACCTGAAGAACCCTTATAGAACAACAACACACAGGTTGATGTTATTAACGCGCTATCATAAGTATAGAAAAAAGACTTTAATTTATAAGAATAAAGGTACAGGCAATGGTGTTAAAAAAAGTAAAGAGAAAAAAGGTTTTTGCGTAGACTTCATAGGAATAATTACCCGCTAAAGCAAGTTAAAAGAAAATAAGAAAAACTTTTTAACTAATTAACAAAACTTGGGTTATGAGCGGATATGCCTCTTAGATAACAAGTGCCGTTTAAAAAACAAGGAAGTAGCACAGACGCTTTTAGTAAAATCTTATAAATATTAATTAAAAGGACAAATATATGATATATGATAATGTAAGTGTGCTAGGCAAGCAAAAAAAAGAGAAAAGTACTGAAAGCAATAGTTTAGAACAAATCTTAGAGTTCATCATAAAAATTTCGTAAGGGTTAAGAAACCAAATCTTAACAAGCGTAAAAATATTTATAAGGTTTATTAATATTCTTCTTTAATAATTTATTATAAAAGTTGATAGAAAAATTACTTAATTGGTTACGAGTAGAAATAACGAATCCTCATAGACTACAGGAAATACTGAAGATGCCGAAATTACTCAAATAGTTTTAATCGGAGGGGAAATAGTAAGGCTAACAATTGAATTAAAAATTAAAATAATAAAAAATAATGGTAAACGTATTGTCTCTTATATATAGCTCTAAAGTGTTATTTGCGATAATTCCCCTAGTGTTATGTAAGACAAGTGGATATAAATAGAGACGTACCAAAGTCTTCCGCGTTAATGACCCAATTTCACATCACCAAGGAAAAAACTAAGGATTAGGTTTAACAATTGTACAGTAACAAAACTTTTCAGAAAATGCTCAGCAAGAAGCGTAGAGTGTAAAAAAACTCGGCCCACAAATATCATCTCGTTAGCACGCACAAATTTTGATATATATACGTCAGTTCTGGCCGGCATGCACGTAGATTTCTTGTGCAGCAGGTATCTCCGCCGCTCGGTTGCCTACCGGGCAGCTGGTCAATCATGACTGCTAGAGCAACCCAGTTTTGAGCGTTCGTCCTCTCTCCTCCCCGTTTCATGGGGGGTGGGGTTTATTCGGTCGCGGACAACGCCTTTTCTCGTGGTAAAGTGGCGCGTTAGTGACCCCACTCCGTGGCGTGGTCTGGTTAGGGTCGAGAGGGAATCTGTACTTAATTAAGGCTTCCCTGTCGTTCGGAATAATGCTGGGCGGCGACCACGTGGATATGTTGTTTTTTGTTAAGAAATTGTCTAGTTTGAGATTTTGCGTTAGGCCTAAGAATTTACCGGAGGCGCTGTTAAATTTTGGGAAGTGCAGCTTTCTCTCCAGGCTTTTTACTTTTTAAGGGGACATTCTATATGTGCATATTTTAGAGGTCTTCAATTTTATTTTGAAGTTTATTGCTTGTTTCTAACAGTTAAGAGAATGCACACTTTTTTTTTTGTTATATGTAGTTTAAGTGCTGACCGTATGAAAGTACATCTCTGTACAAACTAATTATCAGCTATAGGTATGGGATGCGCATTTTTTTACATAGTTCGCTTGCTCGTGTTCGATAGATGGCGAGTGCTGCGCTACTTGGGCAGTTCAGGAGCTACCAATAAGTTATTAGAGTTTTTAATGTTAACTACCTCTATTACATCCTTGTAAATTATAATATACTGTATTTTTTTACTCTATTGTTTATAATATATCAGTTTTTAAAGTTTAAACCTCTATTAAAAGGTTGATTACATTGAAGGAAGCTAAAGAGTGAAACTTTATAGAACTAAAGTTAGATTTTCAGTAAGATTTAAATAATTTATTTTGGATGACTTTACGAAAGTTGTTAATGAATTAGTTTAAACTCAATTAATTTAAGGGTTGTTTTTATTATAAATTAAAGTTTTTTTCGCCTACCATCATACTTTTCTGAAGATGGATCAATTTCCTTCTGTTAAATTAACTAACAAATACTGAGTGATGGCATCAGATGTACTTCCTCTATAGAATCCTTGGCAGATGGTAGCTATAGTGTTTTTTTGACAAAGTTAAGAAGTAACATGTGGTTATTAACTACAAGAAGAATGTTTAAGTACAACACTTTCGGTACAGTCGAGTTAACAGTAGTTACAAAGAGAAAGAGAGCAGAGGTATTTTGACTTATTGTAAAGAAACAGCTTTCTGAGGATATTTATGTACTATTAGTAAGGAGTGATTTCATAATAATTAATTATAGACCTGTGAACAAAGAGGATTGCTCACTTACTCGGCAAAGTAGGCGGGAGAAGAGCGGAAACTAGGATTTGACGGCATTGAAAGAAAAATGGCTACTCCATCAGTGAGTGATCTGGAACAGATGTATAGAACATTTGCAGAGCGTTCCTTTAACCTAGATTACACTCCACAAAGATTTCACACATAAATTTGCCCCTTTTAAGGTAGAATTGAAGGATGGGTTTTGTCCTGTAGGAATAGTTATATTGTAATAAACAATCTAAGGTACAGGGTGATTCATTATGAGTGGGCCATTATAAAATACTATGCGCTTGGGTTCCTAGCCATATAAAATTTGACAAAGTAGCATTGGAAAATTGTAATTTTGTAACCTTCGTAAAATGATTGAGAAGAGAGGTAAAAAGGACTTCAAAATAACGGGTACAAGCTTTTATAAACACGAAATAACCTGACACCATATGTTTTGGGTGTTAAATACAAGAGTTGTTACTTTTCAAACCACGCTATATTATTAGAGCTTTCAAGTAGGCCATTTAGGAAAAAATTTAAATTCATTGGAAGCGACATTGGAAGCGACATAAGATGCTTGCTTGAGAAAAGTTTTAAAAAAAAAAATACTTGGAGCGAGGGTTTTCGTGGTATACAAAGGCCCAGTGAAGATTTAATTTTACAAACAAACGCATGGAAATGAGGGAAGGGGAGGGGGAGGGGGAAACGGCCCTACTTTAAATGATAAAAATTACGGCCAGCCGCATTATGTAAACATTTTAATCTCCCTGATAGTGAAGCAAAATAGTAATCGATTGATTTTCCCTAGACTAGTGGATTTAAGATAAAGGAGCTAGAGTGAACTCATTTTGAAGTCAAATCATAAAAGTCTATAAAAAAATCCCAATGCAAAAACGCGAAACTTTTAAGAAATCCATTATAACGGAATAATAAATGACTGTTACGTAACATATGTAAGGCAGCCAAAGTTAAAAAGAAGCCCTAGGAACAACATGAGGATGAGCGAAGGGAAGGAGACTAAACAAGACTTAGAAAAACGGCGCGAATCAGTCCGGAACAAACAATTTCCTTAAATAAATATTCCCGTATTAACTCAACCATTGCTAACAATTTCACCCAATGAATAACAGTTTTTTATGGTTTACTGAAAAATGCAGAAAAACCAAACATGGAATTGGTTTTACACCCCACATTCTATGAAATCAAATTAATAAAGCAAATACGTAATAATTTTTTTGTATTCATAGAATAAAATTTCTTCGTTAGCGTTACCCCTCATTATCTACAACGTAAGAAGCTACTAAATAAAAAGAGAATCATTGTCTTCTCAACTGTGATGTTTTAGTTGGCGATAGAAAATTTACTAAGACTTTAGGACAATTAGGGAAGAAACTCTACTTTTCGGAATTATTAAAGGCCCCAAGCTTACTTGGGAGCCTAAACGTGAACTTATTAAGAGTTTTCACCGGAAAGCGTGGTAGAAACTGGTTAGGAGTTACTGCGGCAGGGATAGTTAAATCAACTACCAGAAAAAAACTAGAACGGAATAATTAAACTTTGGAATAGGTTATTTTTAAATGGTAAAATATAGATCGAAAACCGGTTACTGATTACTCAGTTTGCACACATATTTTTTACATATACATACACAATTTTATATATATAACTGTTTTACTAATATTGTCCACAACAAACCCATCGTAGCCTTTCACCGGCCTGTATAATACGAACGAAATAAGTAGCAACTAGGTATTTCTACACCTTCGGGAATATTACAAATATGAAATAGCCTGCGTGTTATGACACATGCTAAAGCACATAGAAAAAGGCGAGTGCGATATAAAGGTGACAACACTTGATTAAAACATGTGGTGGGATTCGCACGGAGTAATAATAGGAGATAGTTTTAATTTTATAATTTTTTAGAATAAATTTAACTGACTTATGATAGCTTTTTTTTTGTATTGTCTAGTGTTGTATTAATTAGCCTCGTTGTTAACTTTCGGTGCAGTGGGTCCACTCTTTTATACGTGTTCTTTTTTATAAAAGCTCTCACATTTGGACTCTAAAGTTTGTCGAAGATCGGCATTTAGTACTACACACAGTTACAGTCTGCATTTTTATATGTGAATTTTATATCATTATTTGATTTTATTAATAAAAGGCCCGAGTTTGGTAGATTATGCTTACGCGTTTAACGCTTTGGTTATACTTAACTCTCAGGGATTTTAAATTCGGCAAACCACTTTCTTTAAAACGTTCAATCGCTTCACTTGCCACTACTGAATCAAGCCACTAAATACATGTAATGTCTGTATTTTAGAACGAATTTAAGATCTAACTCTCTCGAGTGCTATTATTAAACTAAGACATCTAGAAAATTGATATTGAGACCAGATAGTGAGTGTTAACCTCAAGTAATACACAAACCGTTAGGACAATACCTTAAATAAATTCCTGCCTCCTTGATACAGGCGTGGAGGGGGCGACCATCTTAGGAATGGGGAAAACCTAACACAAACTAAACACAAGTAGCGAGAACCACTTGCGCAGGTACCCCCTTAACAGTGAACCAAGTTCAGTCTGACATACTCTCGAACAATTTCAAATTACTAGCCAGACGAGCTTAACATCCTTTTTTTTTTTTAATTTAAAAAATGTTTATTCATAACTTCACGATAGCTTTTAACTGTATATAGTTTTAATTCCATATATATATATGGGGACTTTTTAGCCTTAGTTAAGCATAAGTTTTACTTCTAAAGTGCATAAAGACTAGTTGCCCCTACGTTCAGAGAAGACCTCTGCTAAAGTGCGGAAGAGCAATTTAGAAGTGGGTATATTACTAGAAACCCTCATGTTAAATGAATTTCGGTAGTATTCGCAAAGATGCCTTCTAAGTAGAAAATTTATGTACCAGCTTTATTCCACTTTTAAAAAGTATAGCATTTCTTTAAAAAAAGGAAACTTTTCCCACAATAAGCAAACACTCTACCACCTACAGAAATAATAAAAAAATTTCAATAAAAAGTTATGTAAAATTGCTGTAATCGACTCCTCCCCCAAATCTGCTGTTTGAGAAAGAGTTTGTAAAGCCTGTTTTCTGAACCTCCTTAACTGGTGGAATAGCACGCGTACTGAAATAATTTCTTCTTCCTCCAGCTCGACCCTCTAGACTGTCCAAAATAATTTGGTAGGAGACGCTCCCACTTACACTTTCCCGAAGAACAAAGGGAATTGGCGGCCTAAGGTTTCGACCATGTTACTAGGTGTCATCGCAAATGCTAGAACCTCAGCGACAGACACATATAAAAAGTGACGGTCTCAGTGGCGGAGGCTGGTCGCTACTACACTTTGCCTAACGAGAAACTGAGGTTGGCCATCTCTATTGACATAAAAAAGTATTGATTCCACTTTATTACAATTTATAAAAGGCGAAGCTGCAGAACCCGTTTTATGCGGTGAACGAAGGAGGGCTATCATTGTGGTCTCCTCACTGAGTATAAAAAACCGGTGTCAATTTCACTGCCGTCGCGTACCATAGTAGTTATGGCCAAAACTGAGCGAATAGCTTAATGCGTGCCGCCGGACTGGGCAACTGCTGGGGCAATGCTGACCGATCAGTTAGGCCGTATACAGCTTACGAAGGTCGAGAACTGGACATGAAAAATAACTTTAACTCCTTGAAAAGGCGCGCCACCTCCGCCATGCGCTAACAAGGACAGTGCTGCCTTCTTTTGAAGAATATTACGCATTGCCCGAGGAAACAGCTTAAATTTGTACTCACATACCACGTTATTGCCATATTATGAAACCTCGCCCGAAGATAATTAAATAGCTAACGTAACTTCGCAACTATCTTAAAAATGCCTTAACGGTAAATAAAAAGAAATGAACCTGTTTTGAAAAAGTTTAAAAAGATCTTGCGCATACCAATAAAACACATTAGAAAAATAATTTTACCTACACCTTCAAAATAAAAAGTTAAAAAACACAAAAACGAAAGGTCGATCAATACATGCTTTCTACAGACGTGGTTTCTAATAGTATATATATATGCGTTTTAGCATACCCTATGTTAGATCAAATAACCACGTAAGCGCAAACCTTATTATATCAAACAAATACAAAACTTCTAAAGCATAAAAAGAACTTTTTTCTAGTTAATTTTAATAATATTTGGTGTGTAAACTCGCAAAGAAGAATTATAAGTGTTTTAGTAACGCAAGGTGGCAATTAAAGTGGTAAACGTGACAAACAGGAGAACAAAAATTTGTGTAAAATAACTATACTGAGCTCCACGTTTATTTTATTGTAGCTAAAAAATAAAAACCTTTCAAAGCCATAAGTGGGCAAAACACTACAAGAGAACGCAACCGCTAGACTTCTTTTTATCATGCTTCGTAGAGGTTTGAGCATTAATTTGGTGAATAAGTGAGTAAAATAGTTCGGGAACATTCAGCCTTAACTTCGCAGAGGCCTCCATGAACTGACAGCCCCACTGGGCAGCCTTTCAGCATAATAATTAAGTTGGAATGTAAATTAAATAGGTTAATAGTTGCCCACCTGTGAAGTTCCTGTGCTCTTGGAAACAACTCGGTCATCCTCTAAATCGCATTTATTACCACATATGACCATGGGGACTTTATCTGTGTCTTTTACTCTTAAAATCTGCTCTCTTAAGTCGGCCAGATCTTTAAAAGTTGACATTCGAGTAATAGAGTATACTAGAAGAAAGCCTTGCCCATTTTTCATATACAAATCTCGCATGGCTGTAAACTGCTCAGTACCTATTTATATATTTTTTCAGTTTATAATTATATGAACTTTAATATTATACAAAGAGTTAGAGCCCAAGGAACTTAAATAGTCTAAAACTAAAAAATAGAGAGAGATATAAAGTTAAAAAGAAGAAATTAGCATACCGGCTGTGTCTAATATTTCCAACATGCACTGTTGCCCGTCCACTTCAACTTGCTTTCTGTAACTGTCTTCAATAGTGGGATCATATTTCTCCACAAAAATGTTTTGAACAAACTGCACAGTAAGAGCTGACTTACCCACGCCACCAGTCCCTAGAACTACTATTTTATACTCAATCATAACTTCTGAGTGTGTATAGACATATAAAAATATAAGTAAAAAACTTTATAATATTATACTTACAGTAAAGTGCAAAAGAGTTAGGTAAAAACAAAGAGTGACAATTACAAGGTAAAGATTAATATATAAGAAATAAAAAGTATATTCATTATTTCTAATAACTCCTGTTCTAGAAAGAAAACAAACCAATTTGTTTAAAGACAAAAGGACCGCTCAGTTGAAAAAAATTGCACTGCGTTGATTAATAGTGTTAACCTTGAGCTGTTTTTTCACTATCGCCTAAGAAAAACCACAATGCCAGTGTAAAGCTGCTGGAACAGCCAAGCAGACTCGAGGGCATTACTTTTTGCATACCGCATGGTTTGTTCTTATATTATTGGGTAGAAAAAACAGATATGGCATCGAATTTGTTAAATAAACATCTTTTGCGGTTTAGTCAATTAATTTGGTAACAAAGAGCAGGTTCATTATAAGGTTCTATATTAAGGTTAATAACCTTTCTAATCATAGAAATACGGATGGAATTTGAGGTTAAGGGTGATATAATAATGCTAGGGTTATATTTTGATTTATTAAATAATATTTAAATATAATTATAACCGATTATTGTCTACCTAATATATTTTTTACTTAATTCTAGTAGCCCATAATTCATTGCAATTATATATTTAACATAAAAACCTAGGGCCCTTTCAGGAAAAAATATGAAAGATAATACCAACATTGCACGTGCACTATAGTAGCCAGCAAAATGAAAATTACAAGTGCTATTTTAATTTCATTGAATGAATGCCCTACCCCTATTAACCCCCGCCCTCCTACAGCGTATAACGGCTTGATAAAAAAATTGAAAGCAATATGCAATTGAACAAAAGTTAAATGGGATAAAAAGACTACTGGTTAGTTATACATATAAAAATAAAATATTTAATTTAACTTATCAAGAAGTTAAAAATAAATAAGTTAAGAAGTCAAACTTGCTTTATTGATTTATAAAATATATCCATATTATTTTTTAAATTTTCCTTGTATTTAATTCCGACGAAAAGTATAGCTAATAAACCTTAAAACTATGAAAAGAATTCTTCAACAAAACCAATAGAAGTCTTTACGGGCAGGTCATGTAAAAAGAAAATTAAATCCAGGCTTAGTGGTGTGATATATACAGATAGAACATGGGGCTTCTGCAGAAAACATTATTCTCTTCGAGCCGAAAGTCAAAATGTTAGGAGCGTAGTTAGTAATGGGGTGGGTTACATTGATAATTGCGTATTTCAATAAGTAAAGGACAAAAAAAATTTAAAATAGTGTAATAAGGTTAGCGTTTATTTTATTTGTTATATTTAACATTAGTTTACTACGTCTGCTGGGTTAGGAACAGTTTTTCCAATTAAGTCACAAGAGTAAAAACAGCCAGCAAGGTTTTTTGCTCTACTTAAAATTTGTAAGGATATTTAAACTTTTGAACACTGGTATTTAAACCTTCAAGTCTTTGGAAATCAACTGTACACAAATATATCATATAAGGCATAGATGTACGGACATGACTAAGACGAAAGCGCTAAAAAGTTAATGTAGTTGCTTGTTTATTGCTAAGTGAATTTTCCTTATATGCTAATAATTTAGCGATAAATCTTTAAGTAATCAAAAGAATTACCTAAAAAGGACAATTTGCGAAAAAATTATGAACTAGGATCTTTTCTCAAAAAAAATTATATTACTTATGCGCAAGGTTTCAGCTTATTCTCTCATTACTGATATTTTTAAGAGATAGAAATCTTTTCATTTTCATAAAACCATTAAGGTTTATATGATGAGTTTCATCGTAGCTGTTTATTATAAAGTTTTTGGAATTTTTTTAAAGGTTTGCTGCAAAAATATAGATGAACTCCAAGTTACGGTCTTCAAGCAAATATTTTTTGTTAACAAAATGGCGCTCTGGTAAAAGTTCTTTTTGTAATCTAATCTGTTAAACCCTCTCAAAGTTTTTTTAAATATTCAGAAGTATTAGTCGTAAGGCCTTTTTCTTAGATGTAGACTTTAGTTACAGGGACCTCTAGAAATTAGACTATTCTTTACAAAAAACCAAATTAAAAATCAGGATGTGCTATAAAGCTGTAAACCTCTCTCTGAAGTTTGGTTAGCTCTCATTAACTAAAGCAAGATAGATATATCGTTAAAAGATTTCTAGCGGTCAGGGTATTAACGTCGGGTTTTAATGATTTAATGTTTTCTTAAAGGTTTCGTGGTATTATAAAGTACTGAGCAGCATGCTGGATGTTTTGGGTAAAGTAGCTTTATTACAAATTCAAGTTTGATCAATGATTTTATTTACTTGTACAAAAATACTGATGGGTTAGAAAATCAATCACGATAGTTAATAATTTAGAGCATTCTATTGCTCCGTATAGGAAGGTTATATACCTGCAAGGAAGAAATACAAAGTGTGAGGAAAACATAAAAACACGTGGCACCTACTGGGAAACATGCGGTCATAGCACGTGATTAATAACAGTTAACCAACATGACAAGGACTAACATATCGGTGCTTATTTAGTATTAAAGTAAGCACACTTACATGTTTGTGTAAGTAGGACAGAAATGTAATTTAGGATTAACCATTTATAGTTAAAAAAAAGCTTATTCTCTTTTAATATGTCCTTCAGATGTATAGTCTTCATGGTCTGAAGGAGAAAAAGGGATTTCATAAAGGTTTTAGTTATTGTCTTTTTAAATATAAACTATCTCAAGTATTCTTGTAAGAGTATCTTAGTTTTGCATTTAGAAATTTAAGTAGAGTTAAATATAATGTATTAATTGCCTTCTATGAGGCTTAACAGTATTTGTTTCATAAAAAACTGTTTAAAAATCACAATTTTTTTTAAAAAAAATTAGAGCTTTCTAAGTTTATGGTTATTTTTATTTTTTATATATTGATCTGACACACAAGAAATCTTATGTTGAGTATAACTCAAACTGCTTAATGTACAACCAGTATCCATCCTTCTCCTTGTCTTAATGCTAAAGAAAGAATTAATCCTAGGATGGACACCCATCTTGACAAAAAGGTATCTGAACTACCTAATATGTATAAGAAAACGATTAAGAATAAAGTTCTACTTTGGTAGAGCAAAATTAACTAACACTCTAGAAATGCTCAGCAAAATAACCTAAAAAGCGATGGTTCGTAAAATTAAGGTTTTTGTCATACTTTTTCTAAAAGAACATAGTTATATATATGCTGGCAGTTGTTTAAAACATTTTACAATATCTGCTTTTAAGGTAATTAAGATTATATTTAGGTCTTTTTTACTTTAAAAAAGATTATTAGGGTATTAAGATGTTTTTCGAATTATATTGGACAGTTCATGGTGGTTCGTTTAAGTGATGTAAACCTGGTTTGATCTTATACTTCAGTGTAACTGAGTCTTTAAGGTGCGCCGGTAATTGTTATTTTAGAAAAGCTAGAGTCTGTTGATATAGGACACAAGGCGGTGGGACCTTACTCCAGATGCGTAGATAGTGTACGTCTTAAATTTGGCATCGGATTTTTAGTATTTTAAGGGATACTAGGTGGAAGTGTTATTATGAATTTTTTTTTTAACAAGCTGCTTAACATGGGATTTTCAATCAAGTTTAAAGTCAATACTAATGCCTAGGTATATAATATTTTTGCACCTAGAAGCTCTTTTAGTTGGTTCATAACAAATGCACTGCGTACATTTGGCTTCATTTATCAAGGTCTGCAAGTTTTAGTTGTCAGCCAAAAAAAATAGAGAATAAAATTCTAGGTTTTCATTATTTTGTCTTTTCGTCTCCTCGGGGGAAGTCTATTTTATTCTTCTACTATAATTTCTTCGTTATCTAAAAAAAAATTTTTAATTTTTTATTAATATTCTAAATTATAGTTAGGCATTAACATTATTTATTTTTAGTAGTTTAACAGGGCTTGCCTTAGTGGAAGGTAAATTTCAAAAATTTTAACACCTAGACTAAATAATGGTTTTAGTTTTAAACTTAAGGTACTCTCTTCTAAGTAATCTTACAACTTTATAACCTGTTGTAGGGCCGTTCCCACCTAGTCTCTGAATACAAAAACTTGCAGCAAGTTTAACCTTTTAACAACTCAAGATAAATGTTTTTATAGCTAGAACACCCAGAATGAGTACCACCGCCGGGGTATCTTAAAGTATTACTTTTAATCTTTAAACTCTGATGAACCTTAAATAGATCTAAGGGGGCGCCATACCTATCCGTAGTTATTTTACAAGATGGGAAGGAGCTCCATCAGTTAACTTGCGTAGAAAGGGTGACATTGTTTATTAAAACGTATAATCTACCCAGTCTCCCTTGAAAATTGACTTTGCCAGCAAGCAAACTTTTTAGGGTAAAACTTAAGGACGATAACCTGCGTTAATCATGGTAATCTCAAATGGTATTAGGGATATCCAAAAAGGGTTTAGGTAGGGTATGGATAACCAGTATTCTTTCATAAAAAGTCTGCATTTACATGTACCTTTTTTTTTTAGTACTGGCACACTACGGGCCTTCAGAAGAGGCCTCAAACTGCTTAATCTAAATTCATCTCTTCTTCGGGGGTTGGAGCTCGAGTGTCCGCTATGTCGCTCTTTATAGGACTATCATGACGGCCCCGAAGGGCTGTGAAAGCGAGAAATATTCGCTCGTACTCCCGCCATTTGGTCTAGTGTATTGGAAGACCGCTAGGATCACCACCTGTAAACTCCGGCCAACATTACTGCCAGTCAGGCCTCCTCGGTTATCAGTTCCTCACCCAGAGAGGAGGAGCCCTGCGTACCTTAAAATTGATAACTTGGCTTAAATATTGCTGTCTACTTTGTTAGCTATGTGCATTTCACTTGAGTTTTAAAAGAAGAGATTAACACAATTAATTACAAGTTAGATAAAAAAGTTGTATGTACATAGCTTGCAAGAGGCAAGTCGACTAATTAATTGTTTAAAAAAAAATATGCGCGTTCCCAAGAAGTACGCATAAAACTTTAAAAAAACGTACTCGCTCGAGAGATTGAAATCTGTCGGGTAAGTGTGAAGCAATTCAATAGGAAAGTTTTAATTCTATCCTTCCCTTCGTCGCTTATAGCATAGGCGTTATATTTTAAACGTAAGTACAAAGAGGGGGGTTTACAAATAAGAAATACAAAAAGTGGTTATTTATTTTATCTTTTTGTTCGTCTGTAGACGATTATTCCAAGATACTCTAGATAGGTAATAAAAACCTAGATTTATAAATGCTCTAGCCTTGTTTCTCCAGGAGTGTCCATTCTTGCACAAAAAAGTCCAACTAGTAAAATCATTTTTGTGTTTAGCTTTCGCACTCAAAATAATGCCTGACCGGCATGATAGTACGAATAATAGGTACACCTGACATTAGTTGGTTTTAAATCTAATAAACTATCGTATATAAACTGTTAAAGTATCCATTAGTAGAATTGCAAAATAATTTACAAGTCGACAGCGCTCCTTTATATAATATAACTGTTAAGGTTTATTGTAACTAAGTTTACTAAAGTACTGTATAATTTTTAAAAAAACATTTATTTTGAATTTTTTCTTTATTAAAAGTTAAATAGTAGAAGTGTAAACGCTCGCCTACGAAACAAAAAATAAGAATGCCAGCAACAAAACAAGCTATGATGATTTGGCTAAAACTCTAATAGCCATACTTCACTTTCATGTGTTTTCTCTTACGGCAAATATGAATTTGATTATTAAATTTCCGGGTGTTGATAGTTTCCGAGGGATCCTTTAGCGACTCCGTATTTTTCTTGTTCCCGCCACCATCTTTTTATTATTATAAAAACTAAATTTTTTTGAACGAGAACCCCTTTTCTTAACTATAAAAAAAGTTTGATATATCTATTACAATCATAAGTAACTTTTAACCATCGAAAGCAGTATTATCCAACTTTTTATAGCTGCTGAGTGATAAGCCCTCGTTGAGTGGTTCTGCGCTGGAGCAATGCCTCTTTATAATACTCATTATGTAGGCTCCAGAATCAATAACCTCTATATGTAATAATTACCAAAAATAATTATATCGTCGACAGGAGTACTTTTGTCAAGTTCGAAGAAGCAATTTCTTCCAAAACAGAGCGAGCGGAAGCAAAAGGAACAGTTTTCAAAAAAGTCTTTAAATGTCCGTCGAAATAACACTTTCTTATTTTCCCAAAAGCAATATATCTTAGCCAATAAATATATAAACTTCTTCTCAAAGTATAATTTCATGCATATCACTTCTTGATAAGCTTTTCTACTTTATATTCAGGATCAGAAATTTTTTTGGGGCGCATCCACTCGTTGGCAGTTTTAAGTCCCATGGCAGACGACCCCATGATGACGAGCCGACTTAAAATGAAATTTTGGCTTCAATAAGCGAGTCAAACTAACAAGTAACATCTACGACTACCCGTCAAGAGGGGTGCGGTGCAGTTTCAAGGCGGAGTAGAAGCTCGCTTCAGAGTCGAAATCTACAAGTGCCATGCCTAATAACAAGTAAAGTTATTACTGACAACAGAAAAACAGAAGCAACAAAACCTCTTGACTTCCCTGTTGCTTTATCAGTAAGAAGACGGACATCAACAACTCCACTTATTCCGTGTTTAACAAAAAAGGCTTTGATTATCTTTACTGCAGCAGTATATAGTAAGAAAGAAATAGTCATTTGTCCAAAGTTCGGGAATAATATAGAAACACAGAGATACCTGTAGTGCTGTAAGATAACTGCCCTAAGAATATACAATAACGCCCAGCAAACGCAGAATTCAACTTCGCTTCGTCAGCAGAAACGGTAAGTTCACTAATTCGCCCTTTACTCCCCTCCCCGAGTAAACTTAAAAGCGGTTTTCTCGAAGTCTGAAAATGTCATATAATAATAGTCCGTGCTAAAAATCCGACATGTGAAATTCCACCCTTTGCGCAGGTAAATTCGTAATTAAACTCGACTCTACTTTCTCAAAAATTAATTTCAACTGCTCCCGAGCCTGAAAATAGAAGTACTTAAAAGGAATAAAAGTTTATCGTGTGTAAATAAAAACAAAATATTCAATAATCGTTTAAAGGAGGAAAAGAAGACCAGCCGGATATTAGCAGCCATAATAACAAAGTTTCTATTATCCAAAGTAAATATTTTGTGCTCGGGATAGCTATAAGACTGGAAGAGCAGCCTCCAGTTTTGAACATTGACCAAAAACTCGCTACTGTCGACGATAATACCGTGCTTCGGGTAGGCAATGCCTGTCAAGAAAGGTGCTTAAAAGAGAGCTTGCTATCCATATATTAAGATACAAAAACCTAACAGCGATAAATAGATCGAGAATTCAGAGGGAAAAGTCCCACATAAGAAGGTTTCCGGTTTGGGGTTCCAACCAAATTCTTTAGCAAAATGTACGGCAAAATACCTAGTAAAAATATTTTTTTTACGTACGTAAAATAAAAAAATTAAGATTTTGATAACAAGGAAGTACCATATATCTACAGTTTGTAACGTTGGAACCGGCTGTGAAAAGAGATCCAAATAGTCGATAGCGTAGGTTTCCATATCATCGCTTTCTATAAAAAGAAAATTGTAACGAATTACAACTATAACATATAATAGAATAATAAAACTTTTCCAACAGTTCAAAACCACAGCAAATTTGTCTATTTCAGTTCCAGCTCTAGTTTGACCCAGGTTCCTCTCTAGGCAACTGAAAACAGAGACCATAACTTCCGCATATTTTAGTCAAGGTCACTACTAAACCTTATCAGTAAACACTCCCTCTCAATAACAGGATTATTTGGAAAATTTATTGAGCGATCAAGAAACGAAGATCTAATTACGGTAGCTGCTTGACCTTAGTTTTATTATATTGTTTTAAAATACGAAAAAAATAAGTGATGAGCGTATAGTAAAAGAATACTCGCCTTGAATTACCAAGCCATTATTATGAGTTACAGCATTTTTCACCTCCATATCATATAACGTGTTTGATAAAGCTGTGGCGAAGCCTAACGCATCATAACAATAACTATTAAACCTTAAAAATACAATATCGGTACCTAAGATCCCCAACTCCTTCAGGGAAGCATAACAAGAAGTCCTTAAGAGCTTTCTGTTATAAATAAGTTTTTGGTTGGCTTTCGTAAACACTAACTCTCTATCTTTACTACTTTCCATTGCAAATGCCTAAAACTTCAAAGTTTTTAAGTTCCTAATACGAACCTTTAGAGGAACAAAGTGCTAAGCATGTGTCCAATAGTACTGTCTTCCGCCTGGTCCAAGGATCGTGGCTCATTGTTATGCCACTACTAAAGTACTAATTGTTATTCTGCGATCGACTTTGTATATTTAAACTTATTAAATGCTTTGTAGTGTACGCGCATCTTCCGTTTACAAATGGGGGCCATGCCTTTTAATATCATATTAAACTTATAACGGTTAGTAGTTTTAAAAACTAAAAATACAAATTTGTTGCCCATCCACGATTAATTATAATTTTGTTAATTTCGTTAATTATCACTCATTTTACTCTATATAATTATTTTCATTATTTAAATATATATTTATTAAACTTTCAACTAATATACCGACCGCTCAACTCTTATAAAGCAACTAGTTGTTTAGAGTAAAGTCTTAAAAAAAACATTTTAATACTAAGGCACTGACCAGCAATTGTTCGCTTTAAATATTATAAATGATCCTTTTAGTTGGAATTTGAAACAAAAACAGAGTTTTAACTATAGAGGTCATCAACTTACAAGAAGAGCCATAGGGACAATACTTTCTCTGGTTATGTTTGCCTGCCCTAAATAGACTAGAACTTTTTTAATATTTCCACTGTTTCCTTCTTAATACTGGGGGATCTTTTCAACGTCTTAGATACCAGCCTTACGAGATTCTCAAAAGAACTGTACATGTAAGCCCCCGTGCGTGAAGAGCGGGAGAACTCCTTCTTTGCCTACCCACAGTCTAGAAAGAAAAGTTGAAGACATTTAATTAGCAAACCAGATTGACAGGTTTATAATTTCATTTCAGAAATTACCGAGGCTTAACTTTGTACTGCTCAAACTTAGCCGCTAGCCTATATATTAAGTTATAGAGCTATACCTCTTACTGCGTAGTAAGCAGCTATCCCCCCAACGTTAATTTCTGTATACCACGGGGTATTCGCTTTTTTAGATAGTGTTGTGTTCACCCTCACACGTGGTATAATAAAAAATCTTAGCGACTAATAAAAGATGTAAAGCAAGATGCTTTATTGAAGGTGGAACAGTGGTTCATATGCTCACCCTGAGGGACGAACTAAAAGGCCGTCCCAGGCTCTTGAGAGGGGCTTATATACATTTACAAAGTATTCTTATTTTATTTAGGTTGAGAACGTGCCTTTATCTGGTATTAAAAGTTTTATACTTCGATACTAAATACCCATCCTAACTGTGCAGCAGATAAAAATTTGGTTACTTCACCCCAAAAAACAACATAAGCAACTGTAAAAAAAAAAAGGAAAAAAACAGTCACCGACATGCTGCTAGAGCAATCAAAAGATCGAGAATATGTACCAATCATCACAAAAATGGTCCTTTTGGCATATTAGTTACCGTTTTATAACATAAGCACCCCTTTAAACAAAAAATATAATAGAACATAAACTGTAAAAAGAGCTAATATACATCATGGAAAGGAATAATTTGGGTAGAAGATCGTCGAATACAAAATTATAGATAAAAAAACTTGCTTTAACTGAGAAAGAAATACATATCTTTTTTTAAGGAATAACCTTTTGGAGAAAAGGAATAAGTTAAAGCATCATACAGAAACTGTTAGCTCGAGTTTAGTTAGTTACAGAAAAACCTAGAGCCTGGGTATGGAGACTTAATACGAAGCCTAAACTAGTCATTTTAAATGTTTCATTTTTATTTGTGGAAAATCATTAACGATAATGAAAAATTAAGAGAGCCCTGGGACAACCTTGCAATGACAAGAGCAACGTATCATCGAAAAAAAAGAAACCATTTATGCATAAATTTACGGAGTTACTAAAAAACGATAATTCTAAATTATCGGAAAAAGTAGTGCTAAAGTAACAATAACAATAAATAGATTATTAATATGCCCCACAAATTTACTGTTACTGAAAAGCAAATATTACAATAATACAAAAACCTTTTAGGCCTTCACGACCTGCACCTTACTAAACACAAATACTTAATATAAAGCTTAGAAACGTTGCACGGTGGATTATAAGGCAGTGTAATTAAACTCAAAATTATAAGTACTATTTTTGAAAAAATTGGTGGCTTAAAAGAGAAATAACGCTTTTGCCGAACAGCTGTTCATGCTATTTGCAGTTTAAATATTTGGTTTAATCAAATCAGGTCTTTCCTCCAACGGGATTATTTCATTTTTTAATAATGTAATTTTAGTTTTTCAACATTCGAAGATTGAATTACCTCAAAGCTATAAGTTCTATCTTTTCTAGTTAAGCACAAATATATATGTTTAAACTTTTCTTATTTCTAAAACAAAAACATGTGTTTTTGCTTGTGCTTTGTTATCTAAACGATTGCCAAGTACTTGCTTTTTTGTTTGTTACATGGTTTCCAGACGAGAGTACTTAATGCCTTTAATTAGGACACAGCAACCACTTGAAGCGCTACTTTAACCACCGGAACCACCAACAATGTAAGTACATTTTACTGTTCAATATGAAACGTATACAAATCCTATAAAAAATACAGTGCAACAAAAATGCAGACATGTAAGTGAGCATTAAACTGACCAGTACCAAAGGGAATCGACAAGTTTGCGTACTCTAACAATAGGGATATATTTGGATATTAGCTTGTATTTAGCCCAAAACGTAAAAATTAGTATAAAAGGGTATGTTTAGCTTCTCATAAGTTTCCTTTGTACAACTTTAGGTAGCAAAGAGTAAATATGAGGCTGAGGGAGGTAATCTTTATCTATTATGGTTTCGTAATTTTTTTTTATACCACACTCCACTCCAATTTTTATTAAAATGCGGTAATTAGGTAAATTTAACAGAAAAAAAAAACTAAAATTTTTCTGCTAAAAAGAAAGATAGCTTAAAATTTTCGAGGGTGAAAGGGCTTTAAGAAGCAACCTGATATCACAATATGTGAGAATAGATGTCTTATCTTTTAAAGATTGAAAATTTATCTTCAAAAGCCTTTTTCTGCCGAAATCAAACTTTAGCGTTATTTTTATACTAAATATTAGTTCAATAGTTATAGACTAAAAAAATTAAGGTCCTAGTGTTGCTAATAAACTATTTATCTAATCATCAGCCTCTATGAGTTGTTAATGGGCCGGCGGGAGGATATCTTGTCATAAATAATATATATTTGCGACCTAGCTTAACGCTTCGCTTGACAAAAATCTCTTTTAGTTTAAAAAGACGAGGTAATACATATAATATTTATGAAGAGGTCATAATAATTAAGCTGAAAGAATTTGAATGGCTAAAGGGCATTTTTGCGCATAGAAAGGGGCTATTAAATGAAGCACCCAGTTTAAATTTTTGTATCTTTGTTTATTTTGCTTATAACTTGATGCAATGGAAGGTTAGTGCATTCTAAATAGAGGGTAATAATCTAATAAGCTTATTACCATGTACATGGATATAAACTCAAATTTTACAATGATCTTGTAAGCTAAGAGCAACCCCCCATCTAGATGAGGAGCTCATAATCGGGGAAACCAGGTTGGCAATGGTGCTGGTCAGTGTCTTCAGGCGGCCTTAGGTCCTGTGCATAAGGTTGCCTCTCCCGTTGTGGTTTTTAGTTGTTTTCCACCACACCAGGTCAAATGGCGGGAGTAATACGGACCCAAAATTTCCAGCTTTTTTAGTCCTTCGGGTCAGTCATTATAGCTCTCTAAAGAGCCTACACTGGTGGGTACTCGGTAAGCTTTTGCTTCCAGTTGCTGACCTCCTCTTCCTTGTCCCTCTTTGTAGACGCATAGAATCTTCATACCGTCAGTAAGTTAGGTCAAACTATTATTTTTTATAAAGGTTAACAACCAAGAGCTCTGTATTTTTTTTTTGTGTGATAGAATAGTTATTTATTTGTTAATATTTTATAACGGATGAGAACGCAATAATTAATCAAACCTGTCTTTGGAGGTTGAAAACAGAAGCAGACTGACCCGACTGGAGTATATATCTCGAGTCATACTTAACTAGCATCGGCTCCGCGGAGACCATAGCTGACGGGTGACGCACACTTAAAAGAAAAGTGGCTTTAACTTCGCATGCAATGATTTTTCCTATTGACCCGTCCTTAATAAACATAGTAAGAGAAGTTCGAGGGACGGATAAGCTGGGAACTTTAATGGAATCTATGCAGCTTCGACAAGCCCTTTATAATAAATTTTACGTTAGTATAGAGAGTATGCTTTCGACCTTAGAAAAAAATTTTTCTGCAACCAGAAAGAAGGATAATGAAGACATTAGAACACTCATGGATAGAATCAACCTATTAAGCTCCGGGATGGTGTATGAGGACAAGTCAGCTAAATCAGTGCCCGAACAAAATTGACTCTATTGATGGAGCGCTCCTTAATGATGAGAACTAGGTCACTTTTAACAAAATGTGTTAATAAATCGTTCCTGGAACAAAATTAGTTAAGGGGGTTGTTGATTCAGCAAGGTCAAGCTATTTAAAGCCCCACTGGGTATGTTGAAGGCTCGATTCTCAAAAACTGAGGTGAAGGTTATAAAAAAAAAAAGAAAATTTTAGGGGTTCAAACGAGGTCATATAACTGATTTTTAAAATTGCGAAGTAAAGAAACAATTTTTATTAAAGGCCTGAGGATACT